TGACACTGAATTGCAGCTGAAGAGGCAGAGCATCTTCTGTCCTCCTCCTCCTCAACCTCCCTTGCCCATCTCCCCCTAAGAATAGGATGGAAGCAGCCGAAGTTCTCTGGAAGGACCCAGCTTACCTGTTCTTGGATGCTGGTGTTGAGCCTCCGCAGTGTCTCCTGGAAGCTCTGGTTCCTTGGCTCGAGGGTAGCACAGCGCTGCACATCCTTGAATGCCTGGTCCAACTTGCCAAGATGCTCGAGTGCCTGGCATCGCCGATACAATGCTTTGATGTCAGTGGAGTTGATGTCAATGGCTACAACGGGGAATAGGCAGATCCTGAGTTCCAAGACTGATCTCCCTACTCTCCTGCCCAGGAAGGAATTCTTCCTTATATCATTCTTTTTTCTTGAAAGGGAGAAAGACCCATAGAGTCTCAAGGTTGGTAGAAAGGTTAAAAGTCCTCTCCCCCTGCATCCCTCCCAGCAACACTTCCCAACTTCTATCTGATTCCCAGTGCTTTCCCTACCACAGGATCCTTATCAAGGTTCCAGCTTACTGATGCTTATACATCCCCAGAAATAGGGTGCTCCCCTCCTTTCTGAGGCAGTCAGGTGACTCCATCAAAAACATCTTTCAGAGCCAGATGATTATGGTGGAAGCTTTTAATCCCAGCACTTGGGAGACAAAGGCTGACTGACCTCTCTGAGTTCAAGCCCAGCCTGGTCTACAGAGCTATTTCCAGGACACACACACACACACACACACACACACACAAACCCACAACCCTTTCCTTATTCCTATACAAACTCCTCTCTGTACTTTTTTGTCTTTTTATCCTAAGTCTGGCCCAGAAGTCCCCAAGGTGAAACTAAACTTTCCTTATTCCACCTGAGAGCTGCCTTCCCTGGGCTACGTATTGCCAGATGTTTCTTTTCTTTTTTTTTTTCTTTCTCCAGGTGTTTCTTGACCTTCAGAACCCACAGACTATCATAGCACCTAATAACAATGGAAGCCAGATCCAAACTCCAGCGCGCCCGTGCTGGGTGAGGGTAAAGTGTGGAGCTCACCTCTGGAAGCATCTGAAGCTGCCTGGGCGTAGCTCTCCTGAGAAACAGGAATGAGAGACTCCTTTAGTGAAGGCCCAGTGGAGACAACCAGCATTCCCTAAGTGAGAGGAGAAGTTAGCGGGGGAACTGCAGGTTATCAGAGGCTCAGGATGCACCCCACTCCAGGAACGGAAAAGCACAGGACTTAGTGTCAGGCAACCCCAGGTTCAAGTGCCAACTCCTCTGGCATCTGGAAAGCCTTGGGTTTCTTGACTGTGATACAGGAATAAGAACAATGGCTGTCACAGGGCTGTTCTTCAAAGGAGTGGCCCAACACATGAAAAGCACCTGTGTTAGGCCAATGGTGACAGGTGGAGTCCTGCTTCTCTAGAGCAGTGGCCTGGGCAATAAGAGGCACATTTGCCCAGTCAAGGGGTCTAGAAGACATGGTGAGGACAACGACGGCTCACTTCCATCGGCCAACACAACTTTGTCTCCGGCCTTAACTGCCCTCAGCCCACCCAAGCCGTCCTGTCCCCAGACCATTTTCAGGCCGCAGGCTGCCCGGTTCCTGTAGAGTGTAGCCAGCAGGGCCTTGTCCTTAGTCAGCTTCAGGGCCTGGCTGTAGCTCTTGGTGGCCGCCTTATAGTCCTGGAGCTGAAAATGCCGATTCCCTTCCTCCTTCAGCTGTGCTGCTTCGGCCTCTGCCATCTGTGGGGATACCAACAGCCCTGTGTGGTCAGCCTTTTGCTGGATACCCAGGACAGGGTTCTTAACCTGATAGCTAAAGCCCCAGGTTTCCCTCTCCACAGTGTAGGGTGGGAATTCTGCCTGGAAGGTATCCACTCCAGCACCCCTAAATTCACTGACTACCCCCTCCAAAGGACATTGGTATTTGCTTGCAGCTTGACTCCCATTGAAAGGGTTGTCAGGGTCCCTATGCTTCCCTCTCTATCTCTTTCAACCAAAGCAGGTCTGCAGGCCTGAAAGTCCTCCGGCCTTCTTGCCCAGTCTCCCAGCCTACTCACCGTCTCCCAGAGATGCCTCCTCCTAGGTACTGCTCCTGGGCTCTGCGGTCCACCTCAGACAGCTTCTGTCTGCTGCTCCCAGCCCCCACCCTGCAGACTTTATCACCCCAGCCAGTGACTCCAGACTATATTTGGCCACAGGGGCAGGTGCTCCTGGAAGCTGTCATTGATACAGGGCCCTCCCCCTGCCTGGACTGGACATCCATACCCACGTGAAGGGGCTGACTACCCTCTGGCCCTCAAACACCTCACTTAGAGGCAGTCCTGCAAGAGTTTAGACTCATACCTCAAAGTGTGGGAGAAAGATCCAGAAGAGACAGGAATATCCCTTGGAGACTTGCCCTGCCTAGGCAAGTTATAATGCCCCTTCCCCACCTCCATCCCCAGATAAACAACCCTCCCCTCCCCCCACCACCACTACTACTGCTATTTTGGGAGCAGAGTGACAGCTGAGGGGCTGATAGGCTTGGACACACAGCAGCTGCCCAGGTCCCTCTGGAGACTTCCAGAAGTGACTCTCTGGAGGGAGGAGGAGAGCACAGCAGAGGAAGATCCCTTCTTTGCTTCTCTTCATAGGACTTGTTCACAGCATTTGCTCAAAGGACCCTGCTTTTGGAAAGCCCCGCAGGACACGCTGACTTGGTGTGTGTGAGTGGGCTGCAGTTTAAGAGTGCTTGCCTCCCACCCCTTCCTTTCTTCGTTAATGAACATACTGAGCCCCCCATCTGGCTGTGACTCCCTTGGAGGTCGGCTCTCTTCCTCTGGATCAGATTTCATTCTCCTAGGGCAAGGACTACTAAGTCAGACCCGGAATCCCCTGAGCTCAAGGACTGTAACCCATCTTCCTTTGATCCAGATCTCTCCCAGGACAAGAAGAGGCTTCCTCTTCAAAAATAGCCATCACCATGGTGGATGAGTGTCTCTGGGAACCAGCATTGCTTGTTTCTCCTCAGCCAACTTTAAAAGGCTGTCCTCACGGAGAGTCAGAACTCTCCTATCCTTCAGTGTCAGCTCCAGGAGGTCAAAGTTGCCGTTTGGGAACTCTATGGTCATCCCAGGTACAGAGCTTGGCAGACAGTGCCCTGGGAGTGTTTTATAAATGAAGGAATGAATGAATGAGTAGAGGGATAGATAGATGGATCTTCCTTCTTATGCTTTGCTTGCCTTCCTTTTATTCTCCCCACACTTCCAATATATTTCAAAACACACTTAAAAGATACTGAAGAAAAACCACACACAGGGACACCCACAATAGCTTCTGCAAGTATAGCTGTGGTTTTATAATGTCGATATACAACTATGTGGACAGGTCCCACTGACCTGTTGAACAAAAACCCTAGTCCTAACATGTGAGCTTGTTTATTTCTTGATTCTTTCACCTTTGTTTTCCAAGCTGGCTTCAGACTGGCTTCAAACTCCTAGACTTAAGCAATTCTCCTGCCTCAGCCATCTCTACAGCTGTAACCAGAGTTGTGTGCCAGCATGTCCATCCTAACACACAGTTTTTGGATAGTGATGGGTAAGTGGCTGAGTGCATAGATGGATTCTCTGCTTTCATGGGATGGATCCCAAGCCCAGAACCTCATTTGTGGTCCAAGCAATGAGGTGCTTGACAAAGGATCCTGCTACAAGCAGAGAAACTTTGGTTCTGTGGCGTTTGGATCAAGGAGTCCTATGTTCAATTCCTGATTTAGTAATTCAGTCCACAAGCGTTTCTCTTGTGTCTCCTATATACTGGGGGACGTGGTTGATAATGAGGAATGCCAGAAAGCTTGGAAAACACAGGAAGACGGGGTCCTAGGAAAGGCTTCCCTAGATAATTGAATTAATCTATGCAAAGTTCCGAGAACACTATCTGGGAAAGAATAGAGGCTCAATTCATTTTGTCAGATGAATGAATGTATGCACGTAAGAATGAGTACTTTTAAGCCAAGAGATGAACAACATGAGGAAGGCCAGAAGGTAGAGTCCCTAACAAATGGAGTCATTGCCCTCAGAAGAGGAAAAGCCTCCAGGGAGCTCACAGGTCCCTTCTGGCCTTCCTCAACTTCCTTCAACTTGTATTAGTTTCTTTTGTTTGATTGGTGGTGTTTGTTTGTTTGTGACAGGATTTTTCTTTGCAGACCTTGGATGTTCTGGAATTTGCTCTGTACCAGGCTGTCTTTGAGCTCAGAGATCTACCTGCCTGTCTCTGTCTCCCAAGAGCCTGGATCAAAGGCATGTGCTACCATGCCCAGTTTTAATAGTTCCTTATAGGCTCTGTATTCTTTGGACTTACACATGAGGAGAGTAGAGATTCAAATCTGTCCATAACAGTTCCAGACAAAATAAATTGCCTATGCAAAAGCAGATACTGGAGAGGGCCACCTTGAAAGGGCTCAGAAAAATGCCAAGACAGCTGGGCACGGTGGCCCAGCATCCCATCCTAGGAGGCACAGACAAGAGGATCACAAAGTTGAAGATTTACTTAGGTTACACACCCTTAGTCTATCTCAACACAGAGAGAGAGAGAGAGAGAGAGAGAGAGAGAGAGAGAGAGAGAGAGACCCACAAACCAACCCGTAAATAACATTTCTGCCTCAACCCAATAGTTTCCTGGTTGTATTTACACCCCTGCTACCTAGACCCCAGAGGTCTCAACCTCCACCATCTCCCGCTTCTGTGAGCTAGGCGGGAAAATCAGTTAACTTCTCTGGGTTTTGGCTACTAAAATTGACCAGAGTCGCTCTTGTGAAAAGTGTAAAAGAACGCATCCCGCGAGGGATGATGTAGAAGGCGCGGAGGGAAGTCACCTGGTGACCCCATTGGCAATCCCGGACTCTGGAGCGACCTGACTTCTCCGAACACGAGAGGGCGCTGTGGCCGGCGGCTGCCCCGCGCGACATGGACGCGACGCTCTGTCTTTCCGCCTCGGTTCTCCTCCACGTGGGGACGCAGGATGGCGGCGGCGGTGGCGGTAGGTGTACGCGCACGGGGCGGGGACGCTGGGTCTACGCGTGGGCTCCCCAGGCCGGAGGGAAGCGGAGGGGGACTGACAGTCTCCCGGCTTGCTTCTATAGGATGATGCGGCGGCAGGCGACGTGCAGCGGCTGCTCGTACAGTTCCAGGATGAGGGCGGTCAGCTGCTGGGCTCCCCGTTCGACGTGCCCGTCGACATCACGCCGGACAAGCTACAGCTCGTGTGCAACGCGCTGCTGGCCCAGGTAAGCACCCCAAGACGAAGCCGCGGTGTTCCGAGGACTCAGCTGCACACCGACAGTGTTGGTGGCGTGGGTCGGCACCAGGAAAAATGTTCTCCATGCCAACTCATCTGCAGACAGGCTGTGTTTTGAACTCATCGGATGCAGTATTTCCGTGACTGCTTGTCACACACAGCCCAACATAAGCATCCCGATTTTACAGAGATACCCAGCGGGATTAAATTAGTCGCATGGTGGTATGCAGTAGTTGGGACTGAGCATTGGAGCCCAGATCAATTTAACCAGACTCAAAACCTGTGCTCTTAACCTTTCTGCCCTCTGATGGAGTGGAGAGGCAGGCTTACAGATGCAGCTGGTGGGCCCTCTTGCATTTAACTTAGTCTACGTTTTTAACCATCCCTTTGATTATTCGTTTTACAGTTGCAGCACAGTGTTGGTGGTTCCCGATATATGGGGCTGTGCATTGACTCTCATCTTAGACCTGAAAAATACCAAAGACCTGAATTAGTCGTCAGGGTTAGGGCTTTGGGCTACTTATTTATTTACAGTAGGCATTTTTTTTTAATCCATCAAGTAGAGATATGAATGTCTACTTCCCAGAGTTGTGAGATGCAGAAAAGGGGCTCCAAAACTCTGTGAGTGGCCTAGGATTACTTCTCAGTGTTATAAAGAAAATAAGTCATGCTTACTAGGCGTGGTGGTGCACGCTTTTAATCCCAGCACAAGGGAGGCAGAGGCAGGCAGATGTGAGCTCGAGGCCAGCTTGGACTACAAAGTTCCAGGACATCCAGGGCTACACAGAGAAACCCTGTCTAGGAAAATAAACAAGACATACTCAGTGAGGAAGAGTGAGTGCATCCCAAGCAAGGTGGCTGGAAGACAGCTTCATTCCCAGGCTCAGTGGGAAGCTGGTTCCCCACCCACCCCGCCCCCACTGAGGGCAGGCACTCATCCTTCTGTAGCAGAGTTTCCCTTTACTCTTTTGTTCTTGCCCTCAGGAGGAGCCCCTGCCCCTTGCTTTCTATGTCCACGATGCTGAGATTGTGTCCTCGCTGGGGAAGACGCTGGAGTCCCAGTCTGTGGAGACAGAGAAAATCATAGACATCATCTACCAGCCCCAAGCTGTCTTCAGGGTCCGTGCTGTGACACGGTGCACCAGCTCATTGGAGGGTCACAGTGAAGCGGTCATTTCTGTGGCCTTCAGCCCCACAGGAAAGTAAGGACATTGGCAGAATTGTTGGGATGTGGAGAGGACCCTCCTGAGTCATGGGAATCTTGGGCTGCCTGTCATAGACTTGGGGTCTGGACTCAAGTTGCAAGTAAGAGACTTTCTTATTGGGGTTTGGTCCCCAAAGGCTAAGGAGAATACCTGGTTCAGAAGAGCCTATCTTGGTCATCTGGAGATTGAGTTATTCCTTTCTAAGCCATGTTACTTAAACAAGCCAGATTTCTGCATCTGTTACTTCCCTATGAACCATTTCTTATAGTACTCTAAGAATATGAACAGTTGAGCCAGGTGGTGGTGGTTGTACATGCCTGTAATCTCAGCACTCAGGAAGCAGAGGCAGGCGGATCTCTGTGAGTTTGAGGCTGGCCTGATCTAAATAGTGAGTTCCAGGACTACATAGAGAGATTGTGCCTCAAACAACAATGGAAGAATATGAAAAGCTTCAAAAGCTTTTTTTCAAGGAAGTAGAGACTAGACAGGCAGGTCTTTGTGAGTTCAATGCCAGCCTGTTCTACAGAACAAGTTCTAGGTCAGCCAGGGCTACCCAGAGAAACCCTGTCTTTTTTTTTTTTTTTGGTTTTGGTTTTTTTGTTTTTTCGAGACAGGGTTTCTCTGGGTAGCCCTGGCTGTCCTGGAACTCACTCTGTAGACCAGGCTGGCCTCAAACTCAGAAATCCGCCTGCCTCTGCCTCCCAAGTGCTGGGATTAAAGGTGTGAGCCACCACTGCCCGGCGAGAAACCCTGTCTAAAAAAAAAAAAAAAGTAGGGATGGGCTGGTGAGATGGCTCAGGGGTTAAGAGCACTGGTTACTCTCCCAGAAGACCTGAGTTCAATTCCCAGCGCCCACATAACAGCTCACAACTGTCTGTAACTCAGATCTCAGGAGATCCAACATGCACATTGTGTACAGACACTCATGTGTAGGCAGAATACCTGTTCACATAAAAGATTAAAAAAAAAAACATTAAAAACACACACATAAGCCGGGCGGTGGTGGCGCACACCTTTAATCCCAGCACTTGGGAGGCAGAGGCAGGCAGATTTCTGAGTTCAAGAGTTCGAGGCTAGCCTGGTCTACAGAGTGAGTTCCAGGACAGCCAGGGCTACACAGAG